TTTTCAGAAATTGGAGCAAATATAATGGAAGCGTGAGCACTAGAATGGGAAGGCAGGCTGGGGGAAGAGCCATGTTTAGAAACTGTTCTTAAGGGACTGAAACAGCGATTGTAACTCACTGGCTCTTAGAGCCTTTTTATTGATGGAGATTATCTCTAAGTCTGATTCTTTGCCATAAGTCTCTCTAGTTTTAGCTGTAAGAAGATAGGGACAATTTGAAGGACAGTTTTAGCTAGGGAATTTTAAAATTCTTGTTGAGCTCTTATACATTTTGCCATAGTTTTTTAATGACCCAGGATTAGTTCGCTACCATTGTGGCTGGAAACTGCCAGAAGGGGTCAGTGATTGGAGGGATCCCCCTTTTGTATCTAACTTTATTATTAGGGTCTTCATTTAAAACCTTAATTATATCTTTCTACTGGGTGTTTGCTTGACGTTTGTTTGTTTGTCTGTGGTACCAAGGATTGAACTCAGGACCTTGTGCTTGCTTGTGAGGCAGGCGGCAGAACCACTGAGCCTAATCTCCGGCCCTTCTACTGGGTGTTTAGGACCAAGTTAAAGTGAGACCTGTGTCAATCAAATTAATCTCTTGCTATCTGTCAAGGTCTGGTCAAGCTCCTCGGGCAGTTTTACAAAGGTGCCCAGAGCCTCTCGAGCTCCTCCGTCAGTGTCAGCCAGCAGGGTGGGTCAGGCCTCGCTTGACCATGTTGCTTGTGGTGAAAGTGTGGGAGGCTTTTCCCTCTTGCCGACCTTCCCTTGGCACAGTGTACATTTGTGATTTTTGTCCCCTGACATCCAGCAGCTTCCTTGCTCAGGAGGTTGGGTGACTCACCCAAGATGTAGGGTCCTGTAGAAAAGCTTCTCTCACGTCCTGGGTCCCTGAGGACCTTGGAGGACCGGGGCCAACATACTGGCTGTCCCCTTAGCCCAGTTACATCCCCAGTGCTGGTCTCTAGACTTCAGCTGTTGGAGAGAAGATCAGTGACGTCAGCATTGCACTGGACGCAGTGCGTTTAACGGTTAGAACTTTGCCTGGGTGTCGAGCACTTTGAAGTATAAAGGGTAGTTAGAGGACTGTTTTGTTTGTTTTTTTATCAACCATAGTTGTTCTAGTAGTTGAATCCCTGTAATGTTAACAGACAACAGTTATATAGTTTTATAGAAAAAATTTGAGATCAAAAGCCACACACAGTATTTTAGCATGACAATCATGATGATATTCTTTTTTTGTTTGTTTGTTTTGTTTTGTTTTTGAGACAGGGTCTCACTATGTAGTTGAGACTGACCTGGAGCTCACTATGTAGCCCAGGACTCGAACTCACAGTGATCCTCCTGCCTCAGCCTCCCGAGTGCTGGGATTATAGGCGTGTGCCACCACGGCCGGCTGATACTCTCTTTATAACACACTTAAATGTCCATCTTAGTGTAGAGTAGTCTTTTAGTCAAACACCTCCACCTGATAATAAGCCATTAAATGACACGGAAACTCTCACTGATTTGTTATCCTCTAAAAGGGTGCCCTCTATAGATAACACACCAACCTATAAATGTACCTTAGAAGTTTGTAATGTCTGGCCTCTGATTCTAGTGTGTGACGTTGTTTGGACTGTTTGATGCCCGAGCATCTCTAAGTGTGTGACACATGTAACATCTATATCATATAAAAACTTGTTTACCCGGTGATCTAATGCTGGCTTGACAGGTACCTCATCGCAAGGAGCTGGAGCCCAAGAGAAAGGCAGATACCTGAGTCAAAAAAAGTTATCACCATAAAATCTTAGAAGACCTGTACATTAAGCAGTCATGAATACATTAGCACACCATGAAGTCAGCAATAATGAGTATTACAATTACATGAAACCCTTTGTCCCTTAATTTAGTTTTGTACCAAGAGCATCTTTTAATAAAACCTTGTTTTTTTCCCACAGAAAACTCCACCTTTTGACAATGACCAGTGTAAATAGATCACAATAATATATTTAGCAATGTTTATGGGGTTACATTTCCCACAAAGCTATGGAAATTACCAGTGTCCCCATGTGGACAAAGGCTGGAGAAACATTTCCAGGCATCTGCTCCCTTGTTTACCAAGCGGAGTCCTGTCTAGCAGTTTCCCTAAGCCTATAAAAGTCTCCATCTAATGATCTTAACAAATTTTTAGATGACCTATGAGAACCAGATTGTAACAATTAACACACTTTTCTTGACTAATGAAAGATTTCTGAGTTATTATGCACACACCAATATGTTTTGCGTTTGTTAAAACCAACCTTGACATCATTTTGATCAATTGGCAACCTGGGGGAAGCGTGTCTTTAACTCTCGTGACATTTATCTATAAGCCAATTTAAGTTACACACAGATATCTTTTTTAAAAAATCGAAAAGGTGGGCCGGGGATTTAGCTCAGCGGTTCGGTGTCCTGCCTTGCAAGCTCAAGGACCCGAGTTCAATCCCCGGTACCAAAAAAAAAAA